TGATTTTATAGACCCACCGACTGCCTACCACCTTCTTGCCTTTGGGAAGTTGAACTACACTCCAGGTTTTATTTTCATTCAAGGCTTTGAGTTCTTCTTCCATGGCTAGCCTTCACACAACTTGACGATTGGCTTCTTGAAAGTTCCTTGGTTCACTTTCATAGGACAGTTTACTGAGGAAGACTGCATGAGAGTGAGAGACTTTGGAGTAATTTACAAACTTGTGAATAGAGTACCTTGCATGGTAAGTTTCATAGTCTTGCAGCCTTGATGGTGGATGTCGATCTCGAGTCGGATTCTTGCGGGGTTGAGCTGGGATCACAATAGGTTCAGCTTCACTCTCTTGTATAGATGTTGTGTTATGGTCATGGGGAACTACTTGTGCTTCTGAGGCTTCAGTGTCGTCTCCAATAAGCAGGTTGTCATTAAGAGTTGCATGAGAGTCCCGGTTGTGAGGTAGTGAATGGACACAGTCACTTGGTTCGACTGGATTTGGCAATGGGAAGAGATCTAGGAAATGCTCCCCCTGACGATTTTGATCTGATGATTTGTTGAAATATGGTTGGTTTTCATCAAACCGTACATCTCTTGAGACAAACATCTTCCTGGAGCACAGATTGTAGCATTTGTACCCTTTTTGGGTGGAGGAGTATCCCATGAAAACACACTTGACAGCTTTGGGATCAAGCTTGTCTCGGTGATGGGATTGAATATGAACATAACAGGTACATCCAAAGATTCTCAGATGGGAAAGATTAATTTTTTTGTTTTGCATAACCTCAGATGGTGATTTTGTATCCAGAACACGACTAGGCAGTCTGTTAATAAGGTAGGTGGCTGCAAGAACTCCTTAAGACCAAAACCTCTTAGGCATATTCATTTGCAACATTAGCGCCCTGGTTTTTTCAAGTAGGTCCCGATTCTTCCTTTCGGCAATTCCATTTTGCTGAGGAGTACCTACACAACTTGTTTGATGTATAATTCCATGGGTGCTCAAATAGTTAGTCATATTTTTTTATGTATATTCAGTGCCATTATCAGACCTTAGTATGTGGATTTGGGACGAAAAATGGTTCATGACAAGATTATGAAAGTCCTTGAAAGCATCCATAACTTCACTTTTGAATTTTAGGAGGTACAACCAAGTGGCTCTTGAGAAATCATCAACAAAGATAACGTAGTACCTATAACCATCAAAAGACTCTAGAGGTGCAGGTCCCCAAACATCGGAGTGCACCATTTCAAACAACTTGCTAGTCCTAGACATGGAAGAATTGAATGGGAGTCTAGTAGATTTTGACAAATGACAAATTTCACATACAAGGGAGGATTTGCATAAACTAGGGAACAACGTAGACAACACAGATTCTGAGGGATGGGCTAGGCGTTGATGCCACAACCGATGTTCTAGGTTTGAGCTGACTTGGAACCCCTTTGGAACATTGAGGTCCTCTGAAAAATAGTACAGCCTATTTAGGTAGTGACCTTCACCAATCAGCTTCTTGGTGGCTAGATCCTAAAAAACAACATTGTGGGGGGAAAAAATTGCACGACAGTTTAGCGAGTTTGTAATCCTTCCTACAGACAATAATTGAAAAGGAAAAGATGGAACATATAACGCTGTGGACTCAACAGTTTCTGAGATCAGTTTAACTTTCCCTCTACCTAGAACTGGCACACCTCTACCATTTGCTACAGAAACTAGTGATGGTTTAGTGTGGCTTTCAAAATCGTATAGCTTAGAATATTGATTTGTCATGTGATCTGTGGCACCTGAGTCTATAATCCAAAAATCATGAAAGTGACTAACATTTAGAGCAGTTGAAAGAGCACAAATGATACCTGGAATGTCTCCTTGAGGTACATGACCAGATTCAGCTAAGAACCCTGCAAACTGTCCAAGAAGAGCAGTTTGACTTTCCCTAGTCGACGTTTCACCTGTGCTTCCTTTTCTGGTTTGAAGGTAGGTTGAGAACTCATTCAACAAGTCAGCCGAATTGGCTGTAAAGTTCATCGACCCACCGATGGATGTAGCAGCAGCAGCATGGTACTTGTTTGTATGTGGTCTAGCGTGTGAGCCCTTATGATCTCTTAAAGGCTTGTTCTCAAACCTTGGCTTCAACTCAGGGTGCAATATCCAGCATCGATCTATTAGATGTCCAACATTATTACAATGTAGACACTTCAGATCTGGCCTTTTTCCCTTGTATACTTTATCTCCAAATGACTTGTGATTTGTCACAAAAGCTCTAGCCTCAGACATACTAGGTTTTACGTCAACATTCATGACTTTTCTGCGTACTTCTTCTCACTGGATAGTAGTGCAAATACTTGCAAATGATGGAAGTTCGGGATTCATTAGAATATGGCTTCTAAGATCTTCATATTCGGAACGCAAACTTGCAAGCAAATGAAAGATTTTGTCTTCCTCGGACCTTTTTAACAGTACGGCAGCATCGATAGTGTGTGGTCGATACATTTCTAGTTCGTTCCACATGTTTTTCATGCAACCGAGATGATGAACAAAGGATTTATTACCTTGTTGAAGACTTGCAAGATTCCTCTTAAGCTGGAACACTCGAGCAGCATTGTTTTGATTTCCATACATGTCATTGACTGCCTTCCAAAGAGCACTAGAGGATTCTGAAAAACTGAAAATTTCAGACAGCTTAGGATCCATGGAGTTGAGGAGCCACGACATGACCAGCTGGTCTTTGCACAGCCATGCTTCATACTCCGGTGATGCGACGTTGGTTTGGGTTGGCTTCAGCTTCTGGAAAACTAGGGCGAGGAGCTGTGAAGCTTTCAGCTTCTGAGCCAAAAAGATTATTTTCTGCCATTATCGAAACGAATGTGCAGAAGAAGAGAAGGGACAACAATGGAGTCAGGCCGGTTAAGGTTCCGGCTCTGATACCATGTGGAAAATATGGAAGAGAATGCTTTTTCTCATTATGTTTCTCTACAAGATTACAAGGATATATATACATGATACAAGTGTGTAGGTAGGACAAGGTAGGACGGTTGTAGGACGGCTAGTGTGTAGGTAGGACAAGGTAGGACGGCTGTAGGACGGCTAGTGTGTAGGTAGGACAAGGTAGGACGGCTTGACGGCTGTAGGACGGCTTATTCTTCCAATAAAGGAGGAGGAGAAGGAAAGAAAAGGACAAAGGAGACAGGAGAAGAGAAGGACTGTCACTGACTCTGGCCATAGCTAGGGTCACGGTTGCGGGAAGAACGAAGGAGAGGACACTCACACACCAGTGAGAAAAGCTCTTAGAATGAGAGAAAGTTTAATGCCTGATCTTTGTTTCTATGATCAGTGAGCTTATCAATTGCTTAAACATTGTGTATATGAGGCTTTAAGCCGATCACTCATCATTGTATAAGATTTGAAAATCAATAGACTAAAATTCAATCTAATTATATGTTGAGAGAGGGACTGTAGGTCCTGATCTCTTAAAAACTCATCATCTCATATTATTCATAAATTGAGGACCAACTATTGTTGGCTCTTTGATCAATTTGATATTCTTTGTGATAACAGAATGGTCTAACAACATAAACTAAGCAGTAAATAAGAAAAAATGCCAATTTTATTTTTTCCATCAGGAAATCATATGTATTCACAATCATAACAATAGATTGATCAACATATGTTGTAATCCATGGAGATCCATATTTCGTATGCAGTAAAAAACCAAAGAGTTTCGTGCATAAAAGTAGCAACGACAATATTAAAGTAACAACTCTATAGCCACATCACACACTGGTATTTATAGATAAAAAATTACATCGTCGGAGTTGTGCATATCATTTGGGGTGTTAACTCTCTATTAATAAAGAAAAAAATAATCAAGCGATAGTTGTATTGATAACATGTTAGAAACAAAATATACAAAAAAAAAATTAAGAGATAAGAGAGGGATTAGGGGGGAGAAAATCAGAATCTCATTTGCTTCTCATTAGACTGTCTACTTATAAGCATAGAATTTACATAAAAAAGTGTTCACCTATTGATATATTATATATTGAATCAGAAAGTGAACAGCCACATATTATTATAACAACTTAAACTTTATTACCAAACCATCAATCCTCCTCTCAAGTAAAGATCCAAAATAATCATAATTTAATTACCACCGTAACTTGGAAACTACGACAATGTTTGAATGTGGGTATCATATATTACTACGTTTTTATTTTCTTTTAATTTTTATTAAGTTGAGCCAAACATAAGTCCAAGCACATTTAAAGAATAAGTTGAGTCAAAATTTAAAGGCTCAAGTTCGTTTTTAAACGTGTCAAGCTTAAAAACAAACTCGAGCTTGAGCTAGCGTCGATTACAAACTTTTGTTTGAGATAGAGCATGAAATTTTTTTTCTAAAGTGTTTTTTATGGTACTTGCATGTATCAAAAGAGTTCGATATTATGATCACATACAAAAAATTAATTTGAGTTCTGACTTTCAGTGTTGAACAAAAGGAATATTTGGTCCCACCTTCTTTCCATAAGCCCAATATCCAGCTATGATTATTTCATATTCCATACACTTCAAATTTGAAACAAGGTTGAGCACCAAATTAAGATGTAAAGAAAATAAAACATTTTTTTGAGATGAAAGGGCAACATTTTATTGAAACTCTAAACAGTACACTTGAGCCAAACATAATTTCAAGATCATTTAGATAATGAGTTGAGTCGTTGTTCTGGTCCATTTACCAAAATCCACAAAAATCAAAGGAAAATTAATAAAAAGAGTTTGAAAACTTTGAGTTTTAACAATAAGGATAAAATAAAGAGTAAAATGAATAGTACCAGATTTGACTTTGTAGTCTAAAAATATGATTTTTCATTAAAATGAACAGTACCGCAAGTTTTTCGTTAAAACTCTTAAAAATCAATTGCAATCCTCAAAATATGAATAACCGCTTAATTACGTGGACCTCTGCAAAAGCCTTATCCTCTCCTCTCTCTCCAACGTATATAAACGCCCATTTGAAATTTCTCAGCACAACGATACTTAAGAGGGACAATCGCAGTACACCCATGGAAAGCTTGAAGCTTTCACAGCCTTTGTGCAGTAGCCATGGCTGGAAATCTCTCATTCCACTTCCCACTTCAAGAGTTTTGCCCAAATCAACTTTCCACATCTACCCAAATCGTAAATTGGGCCTTTCCACCGGTACTTTCTTCTCCAACTCTGCTTACTCTTTTGCTTTCAACTCACAGATTTCTTTATGCAATTACTGAGATTTCTGCTGTTATTTAGTTCTTACCAGAAAACCCAATTGGTTGAAATTTTCAATTCTTTATTTTTGTAGCTCGATTTGTGGTGCTACAAGCTCTCTTACTATGAATGTTTTCTTTTCTTTTTTTGTTAGTATTTTCTGGGTGCAAGACTGTCTTTTGACGTAAGATTTCTTTTTTGCACCCACTTAGTTTTTATTTGAAGTTCCTTTTGATTGAAATTTCCGATCAGATTTTACTTTTTCGTTTCGTTCAAAATCCCCTGATTGTTCATGGGTTTTGGTTGCCGCAAATTAGTTCTTGTTATACACCTTTAGATCCGCTACATTGGTTCGGGATGCTGTTTAACTTATGTCAACCATTGTATTTTCTTGACTTTCTTTTACATAAATATTTTGGATTTCGTATATGGAGAATTTTTGTTTTGTTAATTCGTTCCCATGAGATAACCCGGAAGCAAATTGGAATGACAATGAGTTGTTAGAATTGTTATAGTTATACAATTTTGGTATTAGGAGTGAATGTTACTCATATGGACCTGAACGTTGTAAACTGAAAACAATCCTTGTTCATCCATGATGAGAGGTCTCACTTTTATCTGGTTCTCTAGCAAGCCTTCTTGCAGCTTCACATCATAATTGTGCCAGATTTCGCTAATTTTATTTTGTTTTTATTCCATGATGTTAACTTGGCTGGTTCAGTGCTCTACATTGACTTCATGTTCATGCACTAGTTTCTGAACAGCCATGATTTTGGGAACTTTTTTTTACAGGCTTCATTATCACAGCAAACGTAGCCCTCTTCTCTTCCAATGTATTTCCCAGCAGGCATTGTGTTGTAACACAAGTTCGGAACATGAAGTTTAGTACTAAAAGTACATCAGGTTGCTGTAGCTAATTGGATACGTTTTGGTTGAAGAGCTTATTGATTATTGTTGAGATTTTATCTTCATAGGATATTGTTTTTACTTGCATTACTTTTCAGCATCTGTACAGTCTGCAACTGATGAACTGGTGGAGGGTAAGTCCAAGGATCTCTCTGTGAGTGGGGATTCCATACGCCGTCGGTTTCTTGATTTTTATGCTGCCCGTGGTCATAAGGTTCTTCCAAGTGCTTCTCTTGTGCCAGATGATCCCACAGTTCTACTAACGATTGCGGGAATGCTCCAATTTAAGCCCATATTCCTTGGTCAGGTATGACACAGACTTTCTAGAAACCCGTCATGAGATAGTTATTTTATCATTTGAAATCATTACAGCGTCAATTGTGAAAGTAAAATTATCCATGAAGTAATTAAGGTGTTTATGAATATATTGTCTACACTCAAAATACATTTTAATGGCATCAAGGTCATTTAGAACCCCAAAGTTAGGGTAATTTTGACCTGCTATATTGTGATAGACATCATACACTACATCGGTTCATTTAGGTTTATTTTTCTGTTATATAGATTTTTTTTTTTTTTTTTTCATTCTGATCAAGCTGCTTTCCTTACATTTTTAAAGCGAAACCCTAGCTTTTCTAATGGTGGTCGCAGATCCTGTTCAGGTTCCTAGACAAGTTCCTCGTGCTACAACTGCACAGAGGTGCATACGTACAAATGATGTGGAGAATGTAGGCCGAACAACTCGACATCATACGTTCTTTGAGATGCTTGGAAATTTCAGTTTTGGGGATTACTTCAAGAAGGAGGCAATCCAATGGGCATGGGAGCTTTCAACTGTAGAGTATGCAAGAACTTAATGTTGTTTATTGCTCATTAATGTGAATTTATAAGTTCTGGTTATTGTTTTAAGGATGATTGCTGTTCTCATTCTTTGAATAGTAGTTAGCCATGATATTCTCACCTAATTCACTTTATACGTAATATATATATAGCAAAGACAACCTCACTGTTTTGCATATGGAAGCTCCAAAGAATCTTATCTAAACTCCTTGTCGTAAAAATTATCTTTCTTATTTGAGAAGGATATCCCTTTCGTGCTCCATAAAATAAGCCCAGTCCCATAAGAAACTGTACTTTTCCCTTTTTTTTTTTAGTAGTAGTCCTATGGTTTCTTTTGTATTTCATTGATGCTTTACTTTTCATGGTAATGAATATTTTTATCAATCTATACTCTTGCTATTTTTGAAAATATAACTTCTGCAAAACCTGTTTATTTCTCTCAGATTTGGGTTACCAGCTGACAGATTGTGGATTAGTGTCTTTGAAGATGATAATGAAGCTTTTGAAATCTGGCATGACGAGGTTAGCCATTAATGAGGTCCCCCAATAATTTCTTTTACTTTTACGAATAACATTGTTTGGTTTTTTCTGCTCATCCATTCTCTCTTTTTTCACTATACTTCCATGTGCATATTGCATTTATCTTAAACTGAGCCAGTGACAAATCTCCTACTGACTTTCAACATTTCACTGTTTGTGGCTGGCCTTTGTAATGTACACATGCATTTTTCACCTTTATGCCTACATCCAGTATCTTCCGATGAAATGGACATATTTCTGTCTCTGCAATATGCTTTTGGTATCAGAATCACAAATACCATATGAGACTTAGTGTTTTTTTGGTTCTCTACTAACTGTTGAAGTGTATCTCTAGTTGTATAATTGATGTTACATCAAACAAATGTAAGAACATACAGTAATATATCATGGCTTTTGGTTCAGGTGGGCGTTCCTGTAGAGCGTATAAAGAGAATGGGTGAAGAGGACAACTTTTGGACTAGTGGAGTTACTGGTCCATGTGGCCCATGTTCTGAGATTTATTATGATTTCCATCCTGAGAGGGGCTATGCTGCCATTGTATGTATTTGGTTTTCAAAAATTTTCTTTGCAGGGGGGAAGTTTTAAATACTGAACTACTTTACAGCGGTGATTTTTCCTTCATTTACATTGCCATGACTTTATTTTTCAGGATCTGAATGATGATACGAGGTTTATAGAATTTTACAATTTAGTTTTTATGGAATTCAACAAGAAGGATGACGGCTCGCTTGAACCCTTGAAACAGAAGAATATAGATACTGGGCTTGGCTTGGAGCGTATGGCTCGCATTCTTCAGAAGGTATCAGTTGATTTGCCGGTTTTGCATGATAATGTATATAAATTTCTTTGCAAAAATTGGTACTTCTACTGTTGTACAAGAAAACTAAAGGAGCATGTCGTTAACCGCAGCATGCATTGATTGCAACACCAGTATCAAATGAATTGGTTCAATATTTATCAATTAAGTCATGTTTTTCTTGCAGGTTTCAAACAACTATGAAACCGACTTGATCTATCCAATTATAGAGAAAACCTCAGAATTGGCAAAAGTACCGTATGGTCTAGCTGATGATCAATCAAAACTGAACCTCAAAGTATGCCCTAGTTTAGGAAACCATGTTCTGTTAAGTTTTTATTTCAGCAAACACATTGGTAGGAATTCTCATGTAAGTTTTCTTATTTCAGATTATAGGAGATCACATGCGTGCAGTTGTATATCTCATATCAGATGGGGTTGTTCCATCAAATATTGGAAGAGGTTATGTCGTTCGACGGCTTATTAGAAGAGCCGTTCGTACTGGTAGGATGCTGGGTATAAAGGGAGATGGTCAGGGAAACCTTGAAGGAGCATTTTTACCAACCATTGCAGGAAAAGTAATCGAGTTGAGCACCTACATATATCCAGATTTGAAAAATAGAATACCCCGCATTCTTGAGGAGTTGAAAAGGGAAGAACTTAAATTTGTGCAGACATTGGAGAGAGGGGAAAAATATCTTGACCAAATGCTAGTTGACTCACTGTTAAGTGCAAGAGAAAGTGGGACTGCACCTTGCTTGTCAGGAAAAGATGCATTTCTTTTGTACGATACGTATGGATTTCCTGTTGAAATAACAGCAGAAGTGGCTGAAGAACGTGGTGTAAGTATAGATATGAATGGTTTTGATATTGAAATGGAAAACCAAAGGCGTCAATCCCAGGCTGCACATAGTGCTGTTAAACTTTCCATGGGAAATAGTGCAGATGTTACAAAAGATGTTGGGGACACCAAATTTCTTGGATATGAAACCCTTTCTGCAACAGCCGTAGTGGAAAGTCTTATAGTGAATGGGAGCCCTGTCCTACAGGTTTCCGAAGGAAGTGAAGTAGAAGTGTTGCTGAACCGAACACCATTTTATGCAGAATCAGGAGGTCAAATTGGAGATCATGGATTTTTATATATTCCACAAGGTGAAAACCAGTACAAGGCTGTTATGGAGATAATAGATGTCCAAAAATCTATGGGTAACATATTTGTTCATAAGGGTACGATCAAAGAGGGAGCTTTAGAAGTTGGCAGAGAAGTGGAAGCAGCAGTGGATGCAAGACTAAGACAGCGGGCTAAGGTACAAACCTACATGCAGGATTGGTTTTCCCCTTAATTATGAACTTTAAGCAAGCTTCAAAACTATAAGAGCTATCTATATATTCTGAGTTGAATTAATTGTAACTATGAAAGTCAAAATATATGGTATCTATTATTGGCATGCTCTAATCAATTAGAATAAATTCTATCAAAGCATTTTAGCTTGCAAACTGAGCTATGCTTAGCTCCCTGCAGGTTCATCATACTGCTACTCATTTGCTGCAATCTGCACTCAAGAAAGTTATAGGTCAGGAGACATCACAAGCTGGTTCGTTGGTGGCTTTTGAGCGTCTAAGGTTTGATTTCAACTTCCACCGACCACTTACTGACAGCGAGCTTGCGGAAATTGAAAGTCTGGTTAATAAATGGGTTGGGGATGCAACACCGCTTCAAACTAAAGTGATGCCTCTTGCTGATGCCAAAGGAGCTGGGGCTATAGCAATGTTTGGTGAAAAATATGGTGAAGAGGTACGAAATCTGCTTCACACCTTCTCTTGATCCCTTAAACAGTGTGTTTATTCCAATACGTTGCAAAGTGAAATTTATTGGTGAGTTTGACCTGCTGCAGGTTCGTGTTGTAGAGGTTCCTGGAGTATCCATGGAACTTTGTGGTGGGACTCATGTGAGCAATACTTCTGAAATACGTGGATTCAAAATAATTTCAGAACAGGGTATTGCATCTGGAATCAGGCGTATAGAAGCTGTGGCAGGTGATGCCTTTATTGAATATGTCAATGCCAGAGATTATTACATGAAACAACTATGTTCCACCCTCAAAGTATGTTTCGTTTTACTTTTTTTAAATCTCGTTTTTGTCTCTTTTTTCTTTCCCTCACTTCTCTTTTACAATTTTCTAATGCTTTTTGGTCCTTAATAGCCCTTATGAATGGAGCAAGAATTTTTATTATGTAATGTTGCTTTTCTGAAGGTGAAAGCTGAAGAAGTAACGAACAGAGTAGATAATCTATTAGAGGAGTTACGGATGACAAGAAATGAAGCTTCTACCTTGCGGGAAAAAGCAGCAGTTTACAAAGCATCGATCATGGCAAGCAAAGCGATTTCTGTGGGAACTTCACAAAAAGTCAGGTACATATATGGGACGAATTTACTTGGGCATTGCAACTATATCTCCATTTATCTAATAAGCTCTATCTTTCTCAGGGACTTTAACTACTATTTTTATAGCTTTTTAACCTATTGGAATCGCCAAACTTTAAACGTTAAGAAACTCGTGAATTAAACACTGCAATTTGCATTATAGCCTAAGCAATTTCATAATCCTGGGATTCTTAACATGTAAAAGTTCCTAAATAATTGAGTCCCCTCATTGGATTATTTACATATATTTCTTCCTCTTCATACTGGATATCCATGTGTTTTTTCAGATTATTTATTTATTTTGATCCTTGTTCTTTTGTGGAAATTTCATATCACAGTGTACTGGTTGAATCCATGGAAGACACTGATGCTGATTCACTAAAAAAAGCAGCCGAATATCTGATAGAGACGCTAGAAGATCCGGCAGCTGTCATTCTGGGCTCTTGTCCAGGTGATGAGAAGGTAAGCCTGGTTGCCGCATTCACCCCAGGAGTTGTCAATTTGGGAATACAGGCGGGGAAGTTCATAGGGCCCATAGCTAAGTTGTGTGGTGGTGGAGGGGGCGGAAGACCCAACTTTGCTCAGGCAGGAGGGCGGAAGCCTGAGAATTTGTCCAGTGCACTTGAAAAAGCTCGGTCCGAGATCATCTCAGTTCTATCTGAAAAGGCAAGTTAAAAAATCATTCATCAGAGTTCTAGTTGAAGGCTCCAAAGGAATATTGTTTGTCATACTGGTGGGGATATAAATACAGATATACTGTTTTTTCCTTTCATGGAAAGGGGAAATTGTTAATATTGTAGAGCGTGGATAGCAAATAGGTCCATAAATCTCAGCCATCCAATTCCAGTTGTAAGTTGCACATTTGAGTAGGAAATAAAAACCTATCTGAGATCGGCTTGATTTGTAACTTTTTGAGCATTAACGGGAGAGAACACTTTCGTACAGCTTGAATTGATGTTCCAAATTTGAGAAGTTCAAAACCGTTGGGTTTTCTTTTGGATCATGCTTACTTACGAGCAATGTTAATAGCATGATACAAAAGTAACCATCCGGTTCTCTCCCGTTATTTAACGTATAGTAACTTACTTTCTTATTTATTTTGTTTCTTCTAGTTGATTCAAATATTTTGTTTCTTGGTTTGCACGTCAGAAGTGCGAACGTTAATAACAGACGCATATAACACAAACATAGCAAAAATTAATGTTTTGACATATGAAAAAACCAACTAATCAATTATCATCTTTCAGATTCTTCAATCTCCCAAGTTACAAATTTCATTATGGTCTAGTTAGTTGTATTCCTCTTCGCTCATAAGTTAAAAATTTTAGATTCAAATTTCGTAAATGGCGAGTTTGATAATAAAAACCTTTTTGTAAATATATCTTTTGCCCCAAAAATATATAATTTTATTCAAGAAAAAACAAACTTTTAGCGATTTAACTAATAATTTTGTTTCCTGGTCCGCATATCAAAAGTGTTGACTTTTCAAACAAACAAACGAACAATAAAACAAACATAACAGTCTCACACACATACATACCAAGTCTCCCAATTACCAATCAAAACCAGAGTCACTCAGAAACCCTAAAAACAAAACTAACAGATGTGAAAAAACCAACTAATCAATTATCTTCTTTTAGATTTTTCAATCTCTCAAGTTACGAATTTCATTACGGACTAGTAAATGGTATTCCTCATCACTTATAAGTTAAAGGTTTTAGATTCGAATCTCGTAAGGTAGGTTCGATACCAATTTATTTTATGGTTTAACTAATAGGATGACTTTGGATAAGGTCCTTGTTTATCAACGTTCTTTGACTGAAACCTTGTTGATTTTCAATTTTTGAAGTCTCTGAAATTAATGCAATAATGCATTTTTACGTAGGTTATTATAATTTTTAAATTAAAATTTGATATTTGTAGTTACTAGTATTAATGAGATTTTAAATAAAATCCATGATGGTGGGATTGAAAATATTAAAAAATGAATTATACTTATATATAAAAAAAAGTATAATTTATCTTAATGACATGATTTGTCCTTAAGATCAATTATATTTAAATAAAACCCATGATTTGTCATTACTTATTTTAATGACATTTTACATACAAAAAATTGGCAATTTGTATACGGTACATTTTACATTAAAAAAAATTGGTAAATTTTATACAAAAAAAGGTGGTACATTTTATATTAAAAAAAATTCAATGGGTACATTTTATATAAAATAACAATACGTACATTTCAGATTAAAAATAAATAAATAAATAAAAATTCTTACATTAAAAAATGGGTACATTTTACATGTAACAAAGTGGTACATTTTTAAGGACAATTAGGTACATTATTAATAAATAATGGGTACAAATAAAAGGTTAAAAAAATATGAGTATAAATAAAAGTTTGGAAATATGGACAGAAAAGAAATTAATATATGGGTACAAATTAAAACTGAAAAGAAAATTGGTACAATTTAAAAAAAGGGTTGCAAATAAAAATTGACACACCCCGACTAGAGTCAAGGCATGCTAGCCAACACCCGAAGATGATGTAACCAAAAAGAAAGTGATATATAAAAATATGGATAAATTTAAACCAAAGCTAACATTTATTTAAACTAATAAAGAGAGTGCATGTCACATCCCGGCCCGAGTGGTGTTGGAAATGTGCCCTAAAACCAATCATATGATGATACTTTACGGACATTTCAAACTAATGTAGTTCATTTCAAACTAATGTAGTTTAAATGTAAAGGGTAAAGATTATTGTTTGAGCCGTCTAATATAAATGTTATATGCTTAAACGATAAGTCCAAGGAATATGTGATTGGAAGAATGCGATCTAAAGATGTTAGATTCATGAGACCATTCTTTCGTTGACACATCCTAAACGTTCCTGATCATAGGATTGTCAATTGGGCATTGACAGTCCGTTAAGATCAGTACGTGCTATGTCTTCTCTCAGGGAGAGTGACTAGTCTCGAGTCATTGGTGTGTGTGACATCAAGATAAGTACGTAGGTGCTCAATAGAGAATGAGTTCACTGAACACGATCAACGAAGAGTTCTCATATTCATGTCACATGAGAACTCATGGTTGGGATAATGCAAATTAGTCTTTTGACCTGAGGCATCACAGTTGTCTTGTGGTTAGGTCCTTAATCTTTGATTATGTCAACGTCACTCTATCAGGGTGTCCACGGCATCGTTGGGGTTAAGCCACTTAGCCATGGAGGCAAGTGAATGCGCAACAAGGGATCTCTAACCTTCAAACTGTTTGAGGGAGAATACTCTATGATATGATTTGGAATCTCTGGCCAGAGTATGAATGAGATGTTGGAATGCGTTCCAGATCACATTCAAGGTAATCATATAAGTACAAAGATTCACATTGGATAGTAGACATGAATAAACTATCAAACCAAACAATGTGGTCAAGAGTATTGTATTAGAGAAAGACCGTATTGCATTTGTAATCCTAAACTGAATAGGTTCTCCACCTCTTCTGATTAGCTTGGGTAACCATGATATGCTGCTAGGTGTCACTCATGGTTTGTGGAAGCCCTAAAAGTGTATTATCACTAACGGGAGAATTGAAAGTAAGTTTCAATTCACAATCGATTTGAAAGAGTTTGAATCGCCCACTGCCTCGCTAAAAGGAACCTAATGGATCGTACACCGTGTAAGGTAGAGATTGAAGATTCAACGGAGATGAGTAAGAATAATTAAATGGTTTAATTATTTATCTAAGGCTAGGATTAATTAATATGTTAATTAATCAAACGAATAAGTTCGTTAAAGACCTCGGGTTAGTTTTGGGCCGCAAGGCCCAATGGGATTTGAATGTCAAGCCCATTAACTCAAGTTGTATGACAACTTGAATAAAACAAAGGGCTTGAAAGCCCAATAAACCTATAGGCTAGCCATGTGTAAAAGAATAGGGCTTTTGGTCCATTAGGTCACTTATTTGAAGGGACTATATAAAGGACTTTATAGCCTAAAATTTACTAGGGGTTATTTTGGGGGAAAGGATGAGAACACAAGCTCTCCTTTCTCTCTAAAATTTTGGCCAATCTAGAGGGGAAAATCTAGCAATCTTACTTCCTCTAGGTCACTCATTTCTTCTACAATATACCTTGGTGTGGAGACTTAGAGGTTCTCAATTTTGGGAACTTGGAGAAACCTTTTCATCCATCCAAATCCATGGATCCAAGATGCAAGGAATGAAGGCCCTCTCTTTGGGTGATTAGCCTTTGCTTATGCAAAGAGGAATCTACAAAGGTATTGATTTCTCAACTCACTTTATTTTTGAGTTGAGTCTTGGTTCACCTATCTACTAGGCTTTGAATTTCATGGGTAAATGTTTTGTTTTAAGTGCATACAAGCATGATTCCGCCTTTAATTGTTAATTGCATGCTATTGATGTTGCTTAAATGAACATGTTTTTCACAAATCTTCCTTCAAGTGGTATCAAGAGCCTAGGTCTAGTAGTTGGTGAATCCTTTTGGGTTTTGTAGTTCATAGTTTATGATTTGAATGTTGTAATTGTTACAAGCTTTATTCTTGCTTCTTTGAATGTAAATTTTGTTAGAAAATTTGCCATCTCAAATGTTGTAGATGTAGTTCATATGAGCATGAATTTTGGAGCTAAAATTTGGTGCCATGTTTTTTGGGAAATTCGGCCAAATCCAAAGGGTGGAATTTTGGGTTCTTGTTTGACTTGTTAAAATTGTTTTAAAGTGACTTTTGGAACCCCTATGTACCCTAGTATGGTTGTATGTTATTTCCCTTAAGTTTGAGTGTTTTTGGTATGTTTTTGGGTGAAGAATGTTCATGGAGCTCTTATGGGTTTTCATGAATGTTCTTCATTGTTCTTGATATGTTCTTGCCAAGAACAAAAGGTTTGGTGTTTTGATTCAAAGTTTTGATTTATTTCATAAAGTTTTTGTTTTGAAATATTTCTTATGTTTAAATATGTTAGATATTTATTTTGAAAAATTAAAGAAATTATAGTGGGTTTGGTGTATAATGATTTATTCCATTACACACACCCCACTTACAAAAACTTTGAAATTTTTTTTTATTACTTTGCTTCAAAATCAGCCACCCTAATCAATTAGGGTCCTTGTGGGGCTTTCATGCAATTATATAAAATTTTGATACTTTTGTGTATTTGCATTTTGACCCAAAAGTTTACATTTTTACGTAAAGGTCCAAAATCACTAAAAGGACAAATTGTTTTGCTCCTTTAATGAAGTTTTATTTTTTGTGGAAATTTTTGGGTTCTAGTTGTAATTACATGAAGTAGTGGACTTTTGTGTTTTTACAAAGTGACCCCAAAAGTTTAAGTTTTTGCAAAATAGCCCAAACGTTGAGGTTAATTGCACTATGGCCCAAACAAGTTGAGGTCATAGCATTTTGGCCCAAATTAGGTAGAGAACAAAATTGTTTTGTTTCTTTAAATGAGAATTGGATTTTCATTTCATTTAGCTCCATTTAAATCAATTCTATGGATACAAAAACCAAATGAAAATGTTGCATTCAAGTTTAATTAGTTAAAGCGTTAATTAATTAAAGAAAGGGTGATTATGAACCTTAGCCTACGATAATTGAGCTATGTGAAAGGCCGTTTCAAATTTGTTTGAACCATGGGAATGTGTAGATTAAATTTTGGTTGTAATTTGATATGATCAATTGTTGTAAAAGAGCATAAGCTCTTCTTTACTTTAAAGTAATTTGATTTGATCAATTGTTGTAAAAGAGCATAAGCTCTTATTTACTTTGAAGTACTCATTTCTTGTTTTATTCGATATGCATGAAATTGGAGTAGTTGGGTCCAACGCCCAATAAGACAACACGCCTTAATGTGATTAAACGCGTAACTAAAATCAATCACCATCCCTAGACC